TTTTATCCTGAATATTTTTGGGAAGTATGTTCCCAGGAGTTCAGTGTAATACCCTTTACCATTCTTTCTTGATCTGGCATACAACCAACATGTGTACTTTAAATGGCACAAAAAACAGTTTCTTCATGTAGAACGTTTTAATAACTTATTTAGGTTCCAAAAGTGCATTGCAGCCACTGAAATGTATCATTAAAAGCTTATTGCAAAGCTTGCTGGAGTCAATAGGAAGCCAGATTGAGTCAGCTGTAGGTCAGATCTCTGGCCCACATACTAAAATCCATATAAAAATGCCTATATGATCATAGAATCATTGAATCCCAGAATGATTTGGGTTGGGAAGAACCTTAAAGACCACCTCATTCCAAACCCCCTTCCACTAGAGCAGGTTGCTAAGAGCCCCATCCAGGAAGATTCACAGCCCTTGCTGTACGTATTAAACAATTCACAGATTCCTTTTGGCACAGCGTAACCAGTGGAGTCAGTAAACTGCAGTTTTCCAGCTTCCATTAAAGCAGCAAGGGCCTGGATGGTTTCTGGAAGTGCTGGAGATGCCTCAAATCACATCCTTTGAGGTCGGGAGCTGGGGTTCTGTTTATGTGTCTCAAACCCCATTTGCACCTCATCATCAACTGGGATCTTTCCCAGCTCTTCCACACAGCCTGCCTCAGCTCTTCCTCCAGCATGTCCACACTGAAACCTCCAGGAGCTTGGCAGTAGTTCTTGATACTTCATTAGACCTTTCCTGACCACTGAAGTTTAGTGTATGTTACACAAGCAAAGTAAAGGAGTTTTTAGCATGAGCTACTATAAATTCTCTTTTTATATTTTTCAGATAGCTGCAGTTTGAGCTTTCCAGTAATCCAGTACTTTCCCAAAAGTTTGAAAAATGTCTTTGCCACCTTGCCTTTTATAGCTTTTCCCACTTCAAGTAATCTGGGATCAGTTCCTGTTCAGGCACAGTCAGCTGGAAATAAAGTTTCTCCATCAGTCCCTACGAAGCGACGGAGAGCACAGAATGCAGGTGCCCTCAGCTCTGTGGCCATGGAGCAGGGGCAGGTCAGCTCAGTGGGATCTGAATTAAAGTGACATTTTTCAGGTTCAGACACCCAAGGTGTAAGTGCTCATTTGTGTTCTTAGTTGTTTCAGCTTTCAGCTGCAGGGTATGAAATGCAGGAGGGCCAGAGGGCAGGACACGCAGAACCCACACAGGGTGGGTGTGCACGGGGTTGGTCCTCTGGGGGGGATCTGGGCAGGACCCTCCTCTCTGCAGGGCATGTCACTCCTCATGTTCTTCTACTCATGTTCCAGACAACTTTAGAAACCTCTTTTGAATTTTAAGGCATCATTCTGGCTGCCTGTGTGCCAGGGGTGTGAAACACACCAAGGGATCGTCCATGCCAGAGGTTGGACACTGCACTCCAGCACACCCTAACTGATTAAATGCCCTTAGACATTCATCTCACCTCTCTCTACTAAAGCTCCCTCTTTCACAGCTCTCTTCTTGAGAGGGAAACGTTGGCTGCCGGAACCTTTTCCCAGGCTGAGAGGGGAGTTTAAAGGCATTACAAGGAAGAACTGGGAACATTTGTGGTGTTGAAATAAGTGGAGTTAGTCTACCAAGTGAGGAGGCTCTGCATGCCTTAGTGACGTTGGCAGCGTGTTTTGGTACTTGTGTCCTGGCTGCTGACCTGGGACACCTTGGCAGACAGGGGTGAACCTCTGGCTGTGAACGTGCAGAGCTCCAGGTCCTTGTGTTCACCTTCCACTGCTCTGTGTCTTGCAGTGACTGGGAGCTGGCTGGGGCATGCCTGTCCCTGCAGAGAGAGCTCCTGTGGGCAGCTGGGTGACATCCTGCCCCGGTGCTTGTGGCCATGCTATGGCTCAGCTCCCTGTCCCCTCAGGTGTGCGAGTACCGCTGTTCTGCCCCGGGTGTGTCACCAGGGTGACCAGTGTCTTTGAGAAATGACTTTCCCCAAAGGAAGGGGTGGGTTGGCAGGATGCTCCCATGAGCTGATGTCCTGGTGCAGCTGCAAGGGGCAGGATTGCAGCTGGCAGCTGAACCCCAGGGCTTCAGCCACCTCTGCCATCATGTTAACCCATCGTGTATTCCTTTAGTTACTGCAGCTTCAGCCCCAGAGACTCCCTTGCTCCTGGCTGGGACTCAGTGCCCAGAGGCTTTCCTAGAGCACCTTCCTCCCTGGGTCTGCTGGGCCTCTGCAGAACCACTGTTCTCCTCTAAGTGTTAGGGAAGGAAAGGTCAGGCACCAGTGCTCACCTCCACAGGAGTGCTTATCCTCTCAGTGGTGTTGGTTTTACTGAGAGTTTAGTAGATTGGGCAGAAGAAGTAGGCTGAGGGGAATAATATGAGGGATAGAGGAGAAAAAAATACTTAAAACACCAGTAAACTTAGAATATTTATAAAAATAGCTTTATTGCACTGCAGAAATAATTTGGTTGTGAAGTTACGGTCAGTTAACACATCCTCGAATTAAAATTCTGCCTTGTGCTGAACAGCCAGGGAACACTGAAACAGCACATTCATTATTCATGTGTTCTCATTAGTCAGTCAAAGGTTCTGAAGTCAAGATGAATATTAAGGTCATAGCAAAAATTATTTTTATTATTGGTAAGAGGGTCATACAGCATTATGTCTGTATTTGGGAGTTATCCCACCCCAGTGAGTTTTCTCCTTTTTTGCCTCATGTTCATTTGCTTCAATTCCCTTTCAAAACTGGTCATGATGTTAGTGATGATAACTCAGACTGAAATTTGGAGCTGAAAAGCTTTACAGGGATATTTCAAAGTCATTATAAAGATCCAATTCATCTGTAGCATGTAGATGTAATTATGTAGGGAACGAGGTACTACTCCGGCTCTGATGGAGGGTGTACAGCCATGTAAACAGGGCACTTCTGCAGAGGCAGAACTCAGAGGCTCTTCTCTGTAACCTCATTAACACCACAGAGATGCCATAAGAGGGACTGAGAAAGCAGTTTTGCTTACTGTTTGTACTTTATAGCCAAATTCTGCTCCATTTTTTAATCTTGCAAGTGATCCCATTGTTTTCAGCCGTGATTTGTGCCTGGGGAGGTCAGGAGAGCTGCCCTTCCTTTACCGTTTCTTTGCAAATATTCTCGGTCTCTTCCATGACACAGAAATAGAGGAGTAATTGGAAACATGATTATGCCCCTGCCTTTGTAGCCTCACAGATCCAGCATAGACACAGAATAACCCTCCCCAGCAGTGATTAAACTGACCAGCTTCTTCCCTGCATAGTCAAAAGCTGCTGAGGTTGTGCAAAGCCCCTACAGTGTTTGGCACGGGCTGGAGCCAATTCCTGCCCCCTGTTACGGTCACGGGGTGTCACAGAGGCAGCATTGCCCTGAAGTCTGCTAGGATGTGTTTCCATTGCCACTGCAATCTTGTTCCCAGATTTCAGAGTTTATCGACTTGGTGATACTTAAAAATGATACCAGAATGTTCCTAAAAATATGCTCCTGCTCCTGGCTCTCTGGTTGCAGGGCAGAGCTCTCCAGGTGCTGTCACTGTGCTGTTGTGTAGCCTGAAATGAGTTGCAGGTTGTGTGCTCAGACACCAGCTGCTTAAAATACATCCCATAGTGCAGAACTGAACGCTGAGCAGGTAATCTGAGGAGTCACCACGAGCTGTGCAGGGCACTGTGAGTGTCCAGGCCCTGCTCTGAGCTGCGTTGAGCAGACAGAGCAGAGGGCAGTGGGGATCACTGCGCTGCTCCTGCAGCTCACAGGCAGGTGGGGGGCACGGCAGGGCCTGCACCCACAGCACGTGGGGCTTTAAAGTGTCCCCTTTAGTCTGAGGAGCCATGGGGGAAGGACCGTGACAAGGCTTGTGTCAAAAGGCAGAAAGATCTCAGGAGTTGTGAGTTAAAGTGTTTCCTGGCTGCCCAGATCCTCCATGGTGCTCCGGGGGCCAGCAGGGTCCCCAGTGCCCCGACCCATCCTGTCCCCGAGGCCTCCTTCTAACGGATCACTGTGCCACTGTATGGTTTGATTGTGCTGACAGTTACGTGCCACTGTGCCCATAATAACCGTTTTTCTTCTTTGTTCAAATGAAATTTCTAATTACACGTGTGATGGGTTGTTTTAATTCTTTTCCCTTTCCAAATCCACCTTCCTGTTGCAATGCATGATGAGCAGGCTCAATATTGTGCATGACACCCGCTACAAGTGTTGGTAGGTGCCAGCTTTGTTTCTTGATTATCTTAAACCTGTGGTGCAGCTCACAGACCCTCAAAATCCACTGCTAGATGTAACATAGAGCCCTCGTGCCAGTCCATCTCCCCCAGCCTCTTGCACTAACACCTGTCAATTAAATGCGATTGTTTTATTTAATTGACATGGACACAGAGATGTTAATTTTGTATAGCAGTTTTTAATTGCACATTGTTCCTTGGTGGATTTTGACTGGACTATGAGTTCCAGTGTTTAGAAACTTATCTTGTGTTAACTAAAGACTGTATCTTACCATAGCCACGTAGCCGTATTCTGTCCTTGAACGAGATTAATTTCTGTTTGCAGTAAATATTTAGGTTGAATTTTTAAAAGACAAAAATTTGTAAATATAAGGGCATTGAAAAACTCTCCTGTTGATTTTCGTATTGAAATGGTTAAGCTTGTTTGTGTCGATTTTCTTGATTTGATGGTAACAAGCATTTTCCCCTTTTTTTCTCTTTCATCTCCCTCCCCTCCCTCCCGGAATGTTGTCCTGCTTTGCACTGTGGTTGCATGTCACGCACTGGCAATGATGTCTCGGGCTTTTCGCTGTGGTAAACCATGCTCAATGACCCTCCCACGTGTCGCTCTGGTCCCCATACTGCTACACTCTTCTGTATGTTTGCTTATTTGATTTTCCTTCCGAAAGTTCCCATGGTGCACGGTGCTACGCCAGCCACTGTGTCTGCAGCAACAACATCTGCCACAAGTGTTCCCTTCGCTGCAACAGCCACAGCCAACCAGGTTTGCTAATTTACAGCTTTGTTCCTTACAGACAACTTGAAATCGGTGCTTTAATGAGCATGGGGGTTTGGATCTGACCTCTTGTTGGCCTACACATTCTCTTGGAGAGCTGCAGCACAGCTTAATCAGCCTTTAGCCGTGCTCCAGAGGTGCTGCAGTTCCATTTCTGATGCTAAAAATAATTGATAATAGAGTTTCTGACTCAGTCTTAACATTTATGGGCCATGCTGCTTACTTCTGCTCTCAGTGGTGTAAAGAGCAAGGGATAATACACAAACCCACAATTTATTTCCGTTTCTGTGAAGCCGACAGCTCCTTTCAGTGCAGCACTCAGAGAAAGCCAGGGGAACCTTTGTGCAGAGGGGCTGCAGGTTCTTACAGTCCGAGTTTAGCAGTCCAAACATGTTCTGACTCTCCTCTTCCAAGAGCAAAACAAAGCTGTGTGAGCATGGGCCACACAGAAACTTCTTTGAAATCTTTGTTCCAGCCCGTGATTCTCTTGGGAATGGCCCATTGCTGCGGACAGAGCTCAGTTGAGAAAATGCCCATTAGAGTCTGGGTTTATTTCTAAATAGCCACCCCAAGCATTGCCATGTTTGAGTGTATTTCAGGAATATAAGAGTAATGCTTCACCATGTAAATGATTACAAATCTCCCAGGAAAGCCAGAACCAGTGCTCTGAAGATGAATTCCAGGGCCAAAGGAGCAGCTAGAGCTGCACCTGAGCGCAGGGTGTTGTCAGAAGAGCAGATTTATGTACAATATCTGGCTGAAAGTGCAACAGTAAAAACATTTTAAAGACCCTATTGTTCCTCTTCTAAAAGCAAATTATTTTTTGAGATTTACCAGGCAGTTAGAGTTGCCCACGTCATAAAGCCGTCAGTTCTGGTGCCATATGGGGGTCTTGCTCCCAGCTCTCGGATCACATGTGTGCCCCTTAGAAAAAGAACTAGAAGTTGTCCTTAGTGCTGTGCAGGTGTGGTTCTGTGTGTGGATGGGCTCTGCAGGGCAGTGTCAGTGCTGAGGTGGGATGGGCTCTGCAGGGCAGTGTCAGTGCTGAGGTGGGATGGGCTCTGCAGGGCAGTGTCAGTGCTGAGGTGGGATGGGCTCTGCAGGGCAGTGTCAGTGCTGAGGTGGGATGGGCCCTGCAGGGCAGTGTCAGTGCTGAGGTGGGATGGGCCCTGCAGGGCAGTGTCAGTGCTTGAGGTGGGATGGGCTCTGCAGGGCAGTGTCAGTGCTGAGGTGGGATGGGCTCTGCAGGGCAGTGTCAGTGCTGAGGTGGGATGGGCTCTGCAGGGCAGTGTCAGTGCTGAGGTGGGATGGGCTCTGCAGGGCAGTGTCAGTGCTGAGATGGGATGGACTCTGCAGGGCAGTGTCAGTTCTAAGGCAGGCTCAGCTGACGTGCTCAGCTCCCTGGCTCAGTACAGACGACACCTCCTCCTCTTCCCAGAGCCCCAGCAGGCTGGGGGTGCAGCTGCAGCTGCTCTTGCCCCTCTGTGCTTGGGGAGGATGGTGCTGTGGGCACCCAGTGCTGCAGAGGGAAGTCCAGGGTCTTTGGCTTCGAGCCTTTGCACCTTTAGCTGTCGAGCACTACCATTTTGTGCTGCCCCAGCTGTACGTTCCTCGTTAACCTGTCTGCTTCCTCATCTCTCAAAAACACAATTCCCAAATGGCACCCTTGCAGTGATACCTAGGTGTGCACATCCTGAGCCTCCAAAGGGACCTGGATATTGTACAATTCCCAAAACCACCCAGGTTAGTCTGCTCAGTAGGTAGCATGGGCTGCTCTTGAGAAACGTTTGCTCAATGACCAGGTCACTCATGGCTTTAAACTTAGCCTAAGAATTTGTGTTTTGAAAAGCTAGTTCATAGGTGGGGCTACCTTTGCATATGTGCCACCTCAGCAAGCAACCACCTGTATGCCCAAATTCTCTTCATATTGCAGTTTATTGCCCCAGACAGTTAATTTCAGTCTGTCTCTGTATCCTGTGTGTGTCCTGAGAGTTGTGAGAAGAAGCCAAGCCCCAGAAAACCAGCATTATTTTTGAATCATCTCTGTGTTAATAACCATGCACTTTCCCAAATAGATCACAGGGCATAGATAGATCACGTTCTTTCTGTGGTAGAGTCTGATCATTTCATGCCTTTCCCCCCCGGAGCCTCATAACACACTTAGTGCAGTTCTGCAGCCAAACCTCCATATATACATATATACCCATATATGTATATGCCACGTGAGCAATGCTGAAGGTATTTAATGCCACCCAATGCCGTGTGCCTGCATGCCAAAGGCTAAAGATCTGGCCCTTCATCTTCCCGGACTGGTGTTGAAGGCCCTGGGTCTGTTCCGACAGCACTGTCCCTGATGCTTCTCCAGCCGGGTGCCGCAGCCTGTCCTGCAGCAGTAGGAAAACATGGTATGAGAAGCTTCATTCTGCTCCAAGCCCATTTCTGAGGAGTTGGCCGTGCTGTGGATGTGCGAGCTGCCAGGGGAGGAGAGGGCACACGGGCGGGAGAACAACAGCAGGGCCTGCCGATGAGTTAGCTGAGAAGAAACACTCCCATTCCCTTTCCTGGACGGATTCACAGGCCAGCCTTGGTGCCCATCGGGAAAAAGGGTCTTCCCAAGTGCCACAGCCATTTGGGATCATGCAAATCCATTTTGTGCCCTACATCCCCAGCATGTGTCCCTGTGCCTGGGCACACCTGCTCTCCCTGGGTGCTGCAGGGTTACTCACCCCGGGATGGAGTGTATCACTTGTTACTGGCTCTGCTGGCAGCTGGCTCTGATTGTAATTGCACTTTAAATGGGAAGCTGAGCTGATGGGCACTTGAGAGCCACGTGCTGAGTCCTGTCTAGGCAGCAGAACATTTTGGGAATCGTTTCACTGCCTGGGAGGCTCTGCTTGCCGGCTGCTCCGCACGGTGGCCGTGGGGAGGGCAGGGAGCCCTTCTCCACAGGGCATTCTCACCAGCCATGACAGTCGAGCTCAGGGCATCGTAGGTTTGGCATTCAAAACTCAGGACGGTGAAAGCAGTGAACGCTTCACAAAATCAGCCTGAACTGGGGCCACTGTAGAATTTATCATTGGAGACACTGAGAGCACAGAATTTTGTGTAGGCCAACAAAAAGGGCTATTTTCAATTACTGCACTGCATGACTTGTAGATGTTAACTTCTCTCATTTCCTGAACAACCAATAATACTTATTTATATTTGTCCAGTAGTACTTAACCCAATGTTTCCAGTTAAGGTGCTATTGTAGCACTTCAGTTGACTTTAACTTATAGTTACAACATAAAATCCACCGACTCACAGCTGATCCTCCCCTTCCCAAAGTGATGTTCTATAGCAAAATGCTGTACCTCTGGGTGGGCTCTCTGCATGTGTTACTGACTGTTTACATTTTTTACCTGTAGATACCCATAATATCTGCCGAACATCTGACTAGCCACAAGTATGTTACACAGATGTAGACATTTGGTCATCAAACAGTAAGTTCCCAATGTGTTGTTGTTATATTTTTTTCTTACCTTTATATATGTAATTTGCTGCTTTCAGGGACAGAATGTTTTCATTTTCTTTCTAAGGTAGCCATTAAGATGTGGGGGCAGAGGCTCTGACCTCTGCTGAGGGGCTGTTCCTCTCCAAGGGGGGATCCACAGGGTATCAGTGGCCGTGCCAGGTTTGTACCTGCCCACAGAGCAAAATCAGAGTTCACAGTTTATATTTTATCTGTGTGGCCCCAGGACTGACCTGAGCTGAGGGGCAGCTCTTGGAGGGGGAGTTGATTCCACCAAGTTCTCCATCAAGTTAGAAAGAAAAGATTTTAAATCTCAAAAATTTGGGAACCCAGCATCACTTGGGTTTGGAAACTCATTTTTCCTGTTGTTGTGAGACCCCCCCAGCCATCCCCTCCCTTCCTCTCTGCTGTGCTCCATTTCAGCCATGTTTTTACTGAATGTCTTGGCCATCGTGGAATTATTTCTGAGGGTGAGGATTCACCCATTGGCCGCAGGGGGTTTCTAATATTATTATTATTTGTTATTATATTTTTATATAAAATATATTTTTTAGTAGTAGTAGTAATATTATTATAGTTACTTGTTTCAGCTGAGCATAAATGTTGTTAAATTGATGGAGTGACCCAGGGAGGGTGGGATGCCTGGGATGGGGTGCCTCCCATCCGTGGCCTAAACTTGCTGCCAGGGTCCCTTCAAAGCAGCTGGTTCCAGGCTGTCCCTGTTCTGGAGACCATCCTGAGGAGGAGGAGGAATTGCCTCTGGAGGTGTTTCTCCTGTGACAGGCCACAGAGACCAGAGGGACAGCTGCACTAGATGGGCACTGAAGGGAGAAGAATTCCCTTGGGAACATGGGGCCTGGATTTCTGAGGATGTTTTGTGCTTCTGAGATCCTGCTTGTGCCCCTGGGTTTTACAGGGACAGCTCCCAGGGCCTGGGCCTTGGGTGTGGGGAACGGTGCCCCAGATGCCCATCCCACGGCCGAGGATCAGCGGGAGAGCAGCGGGTCAGGCCCTTCTGTCCCTGCAGAGCGGGGGTGCCGTGTGTGCCCCTCCTGCCCGGGGTGTCCTGCAGGGACCGGGGCTGCCCATGCTGGGGGCACAGCTGCCCCTGCCCGGGTGGGGTTGGGGCTGGTGCGCTCTGACAGTCCTGGCTGTGCTGAGAACGCTTTCTGCTCTTCCCTTCCCAGCTCGCAGCCGAGGCGAAGAGGCCGGATTTGGGTGGGAAGAGGCCGAGCTCATTAGCCATAGTGTATGTAAATACTGTCCAGCAGCACTGGGAACCCCTCAGCAGTGACATCACACATTGCATGTTAGCGAGACGAAGCGAGACCGTGGGACTCCACTGCACACTGTTGCCTATATACTTTGTACATTGAATTGATATTTGTGCTGAGGTGATCTTATTGTCTAAAAAACCTGCAGCATCGTCCGTCTTTCCCGGCACAGAGTGCGGGGGGTCGATGCGCCCGGGGCCTGTTCCCCGCAATCACGGGCGTCACCCCGGAAAGACTGACGATGCTGCAACCAGAAATCTATTATGTATTGGTACGTCTGTAGACCAAGATATAATTTTTTAAAGTAAGTTTATTTCTTTCAAGGTTTACAAATAACAAAGGTGCACCTTGTATTTAAAATTGCCATTATAGACGAGAGCGTGCATGCACAGTAATTTTTGTTTAAGAGTAATATTTTTAATGTAATAGATTGTAAGAAGTGGGAAGAGAGGAATCTGACAGAGATGAATGTGCCAAGCAAAACCACAACTGTGTATATTTTAAAGCACATCAATGGCTTTAAGTACCACGTTGTTAAGGATTCTCATGAAGTGCCATAGACTGTACATCCATCAGAGTATTATTTCTGCAGTGTTATTTTCCGAACCACATTTTCACTGACTTGATGAGTACTGATCAGTCAAAGGGCACCATTCTGTTTCAAACCAAAGCTGTCTCAGAAATGGCCAACTGCTCCTCACAGCCAGTGGGCAGCACCAGAGAGATGCTCCAGCTGTGCATAACCCTCATGGACAACATTATCTATAAACTCTCCCAAGTATGTCATATTTATGCATATTTACTGTATAACGTGAGCTACGAAAGGGAAAAGCCATTTCTGAGACACAGTAACAAATGTTTGAGGAACTTCTTTTGCTCTATTTATAGCCTCTGTCGCGAGTCACAAGGACTATAAATGTTTTGCAGAGATGGGTTTCACTTTAATTCATCAAGTCCCGCGTCCGCGGCGACTCTAAACAAAGACGCAGAAGCACTGACAGCAGATGCATGACAAACCAAAATAGGACAAATGAGATGTTAATTAGCGTAGAAATTGGGTGGGTTAATACTTGGGTGAGTTTTATATGTGATTTTTTTTTTGTTCAGATTAACTGCTTATAGCCTTAGAAAGCCTTTACAAAATAAAAACAAACAAATAGATGTGCATTCAAGTTTTAAGAATGGATTCATCCAAAGGAATTCCTTTTTGTGGTTTGGATGTTGCAGCCAGTAAAGGATATTTTTGCTCTGTTCAGCCAGGGGCTGCCTGGGGCCAGGCCCCGGGTGGGCAGGGGAGGGAGAGGCGCGGGTTCGGTTGTAGAACTCGCCATACTCCGAGTTTACTGCGAGTTTTTATGCTTGAGAGAGATGCTTTATAGATAAGAATGATGTGTTGATTTTCCTGATTGTACTGTACATCTATTAAAGCCTTAGATTATTACATTACGGGTTAAAACCCATACCAATGTAATTTCAATCGTGTTAAGAAAGTATAGATGACTTCACATGTTATTGTAGTGACTTACCATAGAGAATTTACTTATTTTTTCTTGTTAAAAGTATAGTTTTTATTTCTTACATTTATTAGCTCGTTTTCATTTTCTATTACCAGTTGATACCATTTCAGTTTATAGAATTTTGTTTTACTAGAGTTTACTGATGACTTTTTCAAAATACAAAAAAAAAAAAAAAGGTAGTTTTCTTCATAACATACTCAGTTTGGAATTTACATGTAGTGTCTTATGAGTATTCGTATTACTGTTAACTAAATGATTTCTATTTTACTGATCTAATATGACAATATAAGAATGTCAGTCATTGTTAGTTCTTGTCTAGTTTTCATTAAAAGAACAAAGATCTTTTATATGGATATCTTATAATTATATAATCATTGCTAAGTAAGAAGTTAAGTTGTTGCTATGGCAACAATCCTGGCAGACAATTGAGTAATATTTTGATGATTTATTTTGTTTGTAATTAGTTATTATGAGAAAAAAAAATCTAGTTCCTAGATATTAGAAGAAAATTTATTTTCTACTGTATCCATTTCAAATGTTAAAATATTGTTTAAATATTTTTGAAATCCCTGAATATCAGGCCTTGTTATAAATAAGCTGCATAATCAATAGATCAAGGGACTTTTTGTTGATAATCCAAATACTCAAAGTTTACGTAACAAGAATTCTAGTGTGTGTGTGCAAACTCTTGAGGGTTGATTATGCTGCAGTTGGGACGTCGAGAGCGAAGGTTGACTTTTTGCACTTCTGTATATAGTCAAAAAAGAGAGAAACCTGTATAATAGTAAGATCTTATTTTGAATAAAAATGTCTATAATTACAAGGAGTTTTGTTAAGGCTAAATAAAATGACAGGCTGAACAAAATTGCTTGCAAAAGTGGCACAGAGTTAGCACTCCATCCCCCTTCCAAAAAGTTGCTTTGCTTTATGTGGACAGCTTGTAGTTTGCCAGGATTTTTTCAGCTGGAAAGATCTGCCATCCTTCCGAGATCTCATGACTGACAGAAGCTCCACTGGGTCAAATCTGCCTGAAAATCATTAAGAAAAAAAAGAAAAAAAAAAAAAAAAAAAAGGAAAAGAAAAGAAAAAAAAAGCAGGTACTTCAGCCCATCCAGGGAATCATGGCTCAGATATTCCGTACATTATTCAAAATCTACTGCATGTTTAAAGTATCAAAATATATTAAAGATATATGCTATTCAAACCAGTTTCTGACAATTTCAGTGGTTTCTTGTTCACAAAAAAGGTTCTTCAAAACCAATACTGACGTTCACAGAGTTCAACCACGGACAGGCAAACGGAACAGCACCTGTAGCTGTAGGGGTAGGGGGTTATTTTCTCTCGCTGTAGTGGTCCTGTTCTTTTAGCAGGTGAAAAACAACCTGGGAATTCTTCCCATTTTCTTGGAAAACGTTCCAGGAAGCTGGTGATCCTGTGTATGCCAAAGCTGGGAGGCGCTGGGGCCGGGCTGCCCGGTCTGGAGCTGGCGGGGGTGAAGGCGGAGCAGCCGCGGCCCCGGCTCATCTGCGGGAAGGACGGACGCGCTCGGGTTTGCTCTTACGTAACCACAGACTTACTTTTGCTTGTAGTTGCTCCAGTTACGTACTCTGTCCTGGGCTGCAATTTGGGTTTATGCTTATTTTATTATTACTGCTATAGTTGACCTTGCTGTATGGAAAAAAATAAAGTGAAATTGCCCTAAGAAAAGTTCTCTTTCTTAATTACCTTTTCCTGTGTCGGGTTAAAGGTGGCCCTGTGGGGTTGTGGAGCCTTGTCTGTGCACAGGGGAGACTCGAGGGACAGGATTTACCTGGGCAGAACCTTATCTGCTGGGCCTGGCGCTCTTCACCAGCACGTGTTCCATCCCCAGGATATGTATTAAAATGCCAAGTATTGGGGATATTCCTGTTAAATCCAGAGGCTAAATACAAAGCACTGGGATGCCCTGCATCAGCCCCGACTGTCCTTACCCTCTTGTGGCAACACCTCCAAGGTTCAGGGACACACAGGGACCCACAGCCCCTGCCTGCTGCATGGAAAAGAGGAGCAGGGAACTGGAGGTGCAGGGAAGAAGGGCACAGGGAGGGAGCGTGCAGGGA